AAGTTACTTCAAGCAATCTTTTAAATTGCATTTGTGATAGGACAATGCTAAAATTTCAAACACAGAGCAATAGCCATGTCTTTTTTTTTTTTTAAACAAGGTTGCCAACTAGAAGTGTCCCCTTGCCTTTCACATGTGTAAGTGCTTACACTTTGGACTGTGGAAATAAAATCCTCTGTTCCTAAGAAGTCTTTGATTGACATTCTACATACTGTTCCTTCTATATATTTGCTTTATTTTCTGTAAAATTTGCAAGTGAATATGATATATTAGCACGCACATAGTAAACAATGAACTCATGGCATTTTCAGAAAAATGGTTGGAACTGAAAATCACTGTTAAACAAAATAAGCCAGGATTAGAAAGACAAATGCCATGTTTTGTTTCAAATGTCGACTTTAGCTTTAGTGTGTGTGTGTGTGTGTGTGTGTGTGTGTGTGTGTGTGTTCATTATTGACCTAGAAAGGAGATCATTAGAGGGTATGGAGAGTCTTTATAGAAGAGGGGAGGGAAGATAAAGAGGGTAATAGAAAACATGAGACATGAAAGCCGAAGGGGGACACCATTTGAGGGGAGAAGAGACCAATAAGAGACAAGGGGCAAGGAAGACGGGAGAGCAGCGGGAACAGAGAAAACTGGAATAAATTGTAATGGCACATTTGTACTAAAACTATTAAAAATCCATCAATTTGTGTGCTAAATAAAAATGTAGAATAATCAAGTCAAATGTGTTCTAAACTTTTTTGAGATAGGTAATGTAGCCATGAAATCAGCAGGGGGTGCCACAAACTCCTTCTTTGCTGTGTGAGGCCAAGCTTGACTGAGGTCTAACTTTATCTCTGTGATGTCACTGAGGAAAGCCTTCGTGACTTTGTGTATTCACATTATTAACTAGGCCTCCTATGTAGACTTAAATTTTTATTTCTGTTTTACTTTTTGTGTTTTAGAAGATGAATCTGATTATAAATGAACATGGGGGGCATCCTTTTCAGTTCTTATGAACTGTCTTCTAGGAACGGCCGCATCCTCCCTATCTTGAATATTCTGCCCCCCCCCAGGCCACCCCATAGTCTTGGCTAACAGGACCATCGCAATACACTTGCTTTGGGGCAAAGCTTTGTTCTCTTTTGAAAAACTAAGTCTTATTCTTCATTCAGATAAACCTGGGTACTGACATCCTACCTTATCATGTACATGTGTGTTTATGTCTATATATTTGCTATTATTGTTGGCTTTCAGAAGTGGAGATTGTTTGACTATCCTCAATGCAAGAAAAGCAACATCCTCAAGATGTGTCCAGACCATTTTCTACCATAATAACTTCACAGTCTGAAGCAATGCCACACTCAGCAGCCCCAATCAAGCACAACCATGGTGGGGGGCGTGTCTTATAGAAAACTGGCTAAATATGCTATTCATTTGTCCCTTTGACATCTTTCAGTCTCACATTCAGCTTTGATAAAGAAACTGTCTTAGGTCTGAATTTAGTGTTTCTGAAATATGTTCTTTGGGATCTTTTGGCATAACACAGCAGAGTGATTTGCTAAGATGGGATCTGCAGTGCCCAGAAAAGAGCTCCACCCTCACCAGCAGATGCAGAGCTGCTGGTCTCTGCTGTGTCATCCCCACCACCATCACCACTATATTGATCACCATTGCTGCTCAGATCAATTTAACCCCATACCCTACTATCTGCAGCTTAACCCTGGGCTATGCATAGGTGATGGCAGAAAAACCCTCATGACAAATTTTAGGAAACATCTTGATTTGTTGCTGTTGTATTTGATTTGGACATATTTAAAGTGGACTTAAACATTTTTAAATGTGTATAGGTGTTTGGCTTGCATTTATGTAATTATGTCACATCCTGGGTTCCCTTGGAGTTCAGAGAGGGCATGGAATCTCGTGGAACTCAGCTCCATTTTAGATGGTTGTAGACCACTGTGTAGGTTCTGGGAATCAAGCCCAAGTCCTGTTGAAGAGCAACCAGTGTTCTTCACCACTAAAACATCACTCCAGCTCTAAAACATGTTTACATCTATGAGCCACACTGCTCCCTTGCGAAGTGCATTTTGAGCTATCAGCTCCAAGATAGCACTGATGCTCTTTCAACCTTATTTCAACATTTCAGCATATTTCACTTTTTTGGGGGGTGGGGTGGGGTTTTGTTTGTTTGTTTGTTTTCGAGACAGGGTTTCTCTGTATTGTTTTGGAGCCTGTCCTGGAACTCACTCTGTAGAGGCTGGTCTCAAACTCACAGAGATCTGCCTGCCTCTGCCTCCTGAGTGCTGAGGTTAAAGGTGTGTGCCACAAGTGCCAGGTTCATATTTCACTTTTAGCAAGGAAAACACAGAAGAAAATCTGACCTAAAATCTTCATATACAAAAAGGTCTGCTTCCCTTTCTGGTTTGCAATTAAAATATTAAAATTTAACAAATACATTATCTTTCTCTCCTAGAGCTGCAAAGTAGAGGGAGTATAGTCTGTGATTTCAGGATATTGTTATTTAATCTTCGGGAAGCTTCATTTTCTCCAGTCTGTAGTATGGGAATATTATTCAGCTCTGTCACAACTAAAATCATTAAATGCATGAGGATGAAAATAGCCCAGTGTGTAAATAGCAAGCCATCTATCAAAAGCCATGACAGATAGACACAGTCATTTGTACAGACAGTGCTTTTCCTTACATCTGGGACTTCAGTGTTTTGTAAGCTATACATATTTGGTTAATTTAGTTACATCAATTTTGACTACAAAATACACCAAAGTGCCCTGCCCTAAGGATCTTACTTTATTAACATTTAAAAATGTTCAGCTTTAAACACCTCTTTTTTCTAAGTCTACAACAAAGGAAAAGTCAATTTTAGAAAAAGCAGAGCCTCAAGCTATGCATGGCAAATAACCTTGTGGAGGTTTGGGCATCAGACACAAGGAATGTACACAGGATCCTGACCTCCTCCAGGACCTCATGTGAGCCTCTGCAGGCAGAAGTGAGGCACCTGACCAGGGCCAAAGCAACCAATCATGACAGAGTGTGGCTGCCACACCCACCTGCCCACCACTTGTCCCCTGGAAAGGAGCCAATCTGTCTGCTTTTTTCTACCAGGCTGAATTCTGTTAGCTCTTCCTGGAAATCTCTGTGCCTGGTCATGCAAAGTGACAATGCAGGCCAGTATAAACCAGGTTCATACTTATCAGCAGAGAGAGAGAGAGAGAGAGAGAGAGAGAGAGAGAGAGAGAGAGAGAGAGTCCAATTCTGGAGTGCTTTTTGTGGTAGGTTAACCAGAGAGATCATTTTGAAAATGTAATATAAGCATCAGACACCCCCTTATTAATTTTATAAAGATCTTGCAATTCTCTGAAAGTTACAGGCAGAGGTACAGGTTGGTTTGAAGTCATATCAAATCACATGTATAACTGAAACTAGGCTGTGTGGCTACTCTAGATAAAGCAGTAGGCATTTCTGCACTTCACGTTTTAAAATTAAAATTTCCTATATACTTCTCATGGAGGTTGGCCACATTCTAGTTACACACCCTGCCATATTGTCTGTTATTTCCAAAGTTGTTCAGTGGAGTTTCACTCTTGCCAACTGTCAAGATTCGCTGCATGCTTTGGAGTTGGTGATGAATGTGGACGAAACACTGTTTAAGGATTGCAATGCAAGATGGGATCCTGAGAAATGGGGAGGGACAGAGCTCATCTACAGAGAAGCATGTTCAGCTTTTATTTTTGAGAATACTTTTAAAAAAAATGGGCCTGTATCAAAGCTTATGGTGTAGTGTGTGTGTGTGTGTGTGTGTGTTATGGAGACAGGGCCATATTAAAAATATCAAGATCAGCAAAGAAAGCCAGTTGGAGGCTCTGGTTTTTTGAGGCGATTTCTCAGTATTAAGGTGGGGTGTTTAATGTTTCTTTCTAGCCAATCAACATCCTCTTCATTTAAAAAGATACAATTATTCCAAGTTTTGGGGCAGACAGGCATAGTATAGGATGCGATTTTATTTTTCTTCTCATTCTACATACATGTCCTAATCCACTTGCAAAAGCTCAGTGTTTACCGGTGCAGAGTACAATTCAATATTAATGCATCTAAAAAGTTGTGCAGTGACAACCATAATGGAATTCAGAATATTTCTATTCCCCCTGCCCCCCAGCACTCCATATCCCTATTTCCTGTCTTTGTAGGTTTGGAATGGTACAATGCGTGTCTTTTGGAATGAGAATCCAGTATAGCTTACAATATTTGACCATGACCTTCTGCCTCTGAAGACAAATGTTATTCTTGCGTTTTTTGTTGAATTAGGAAATAGAGTACAATTTGCATAAGGCAAAAATTAGAAACTACTTAACACAAGTGGGCCTGTTCTCCTATCACAGAAGGAAACCCACTTTGCCAACGATGAAAAGCAGACTGTGAAGGCACCAGTCGCTGAGCAGTATGCGTCATAAGGTCCCTTAGGCGCAGGGGTGGGGGTAGAGGGACAAGGGTACTGTGGAGAAGAACTCTTAAATTTAACAAAAGGGAGAAGGGATTAAAGCGTTGGGCAGCTGTCTTTTAAGAGCAAAATTTCCTCCACTCAGAAAACTGATCATTGAACACGTAACATAAATCAGTATGAACCCCTCTTCCGTGTCTCTACTGGGGTGGGGGTGGGGGGTCGGGAGGCGGGCAGATTCCTCAGGGTAAGCAAAGCGGAGCTTAACCCACAAGCAAGCTTTCCTTCCTGCCCTTTCCCCCTCTTCTTGCTGGCACCGTTGAGCCTCGCTACAGTTTGCTCAAATATTTGGAAGTGAATTTAGAGTCCTCCCCCCAACTTATGATTTTATAGCCAATAGGTGATGAGGCTCATTTGCATATTTCCAGTCACTTAAGCCGCAGTGGCGAGGAAACCGTCAGACTCGATTCGCCCTCCTTCTCCGAGGAATTCTGCCCCTTCCAGCTGCCCTGCCCTCCCCTTTTAAAGGTTGACTTGCACTGAAGCGCTCAACAGCGCTCCAGCCCTCTAGCGCCTCCTGCTCAACCCCTTGCTACGCGGATCCACTCCCTCCCGCCCGCCGGTCCGCCTGTCCGCCTGCCCCGCGCAGTTCCAGCAGCAAAACAGAAGGACGCGCCGGGAGATGGAGAGCAAAGCCCTGCTCCTCGTGGTCCTGGGAGTGTGGTTCCAGAGTTTGACCGCCTTCCATGGAAGGGTGGCCGCAGTAGATGGTATGTTTTGCGCGCCGACTTGCCGCCACCTGCAGACCCGATCCGCACCACTTCCTCTCCATCTGAAGATGGGAGGGAGAAAGTTGGAAGCGGCGCTCACTGGGACTCCCTGGTGCATCAGGGAAAGGGAGTCCGGGGAAGGGTGGCTGGAATGGAATTCAGGAGGAGCGATGAGAGATTCAGCCTTTGATCACTCCGGGTTCCCGCTTTTTTCTCCCCCCCCCCCGATTTTCCGCTCTGTCCCTTGCTCTCTCCTGCTGCGGACCACAGCACGGAAGGGCCGGGGTGGGGGGGAAGAGGGGTTGGTGTAACCGAAGGGATGGGGGAGATGTGGAGGTCGGGTGTTGTGGTAGTGACAAGTTGTAACCTCCCTAATAGGGAGTGGGAGTGCTGAATGCAAGGAATGAAGGCTAAGGTGACTTTAAGGTGGCTGAGACCAGGGATCAGACCCCTCTGAAGGCGGGAAGAGTGAGCCAATTGTGGCTTCATCAGGGATGGGGGTGGGAGGACGCGTTGTCTGTGTCCGGGCTCCGCGCAGGGTTAACCGGTTGGGAGTAGGAGTGCAGTGGCAGTGGCACAGAGGAACGCGTGGCCAGGAATCCTAGGACCCAGCGTCCTGCACGCCTTTCTGCACTGGGGAGCTATCCACTCTCCAAGCTCTTGGGCTCCGCTTAGCTAAGTACCCAAGAAAGCCCAGCAAAGGGCCGATCCTCCGGAAAACGTGGTAGACACCAGCACTCTGGGGCCTCTGCTTTGGGGGTTGCCATTCCAGCACTTTATCCTTTCTGTCTTCCCAGGAAAGGCTTGCCCAAGGCGAGGCGCTCTCCTAGCTGAGAGAACAAGTGGTTTTCTAGAATCCAGGGAGGTCTCAGTCACTACTACTGTCACAAGGGTGGTAACCTACAGGGCGCTGCCTGCTCTCTCTGCCTAGAGAAGATGACTAGGGTCAGTTGCAAGTTTCTTTATGGCCTTGAAGTTGAGACCTGCCCACAATTGAGAAGCCTTGTAACTTGAACCTTGGTTGAGCTAATAGACCAGGGACTCAAAATGTAACTGAACCCAGTCATAAAAGGAGGCTGGTGTTTCCTTGTGTTGCAGCCAGTGGAAGCTCCATGAGGGTAGTGTCCCCTGGAGGTGCTCGAAGGTGGCAGCCCAATTCCTGTCTTAGTGGAGTCAGGGACTGCAGCTAAAAGCGAGCTTTACTTCTGCATATTGTTGTAAATGTCTTTGCCGAGTTATCACAGAAGAGAAAATCCATCTTGGGAGAACTGCAAGGAAGATAAGAATCTCAGGTGTTTGAGGACTGTGCCTTTCCTGGGGCAGATTGCCTTTCTGCATAGTTTGCGACTCTGGTTAAGAAAAGAGCAAATTTTCAATTCATATCCCAGAAAGCATATCACAGTATGAAACTGCTTTTACTGAAAACTCCCCTGGGGTCCTCCACATCTGCAAGTTTTGCTAAGGTTTCCTTAGACGCTCTGGGCCAGCTCCTCAGCCACCCTTGTGGGGTTAGCTGCATGGGTTATAACATTAGGAAACCTGGCAAGACTCAAAGTGCTCCGAGGTCCCAACCTTATACTTGAATTTAAATGGACACCTAAGAAATTGCATAATAATTTTGTAATTTAGCCAACACCCGATTTTCCTACTAATAAAATGTATTCGGGAATATTATGCTGAAGCAGATGTAAAGTTATTCTCTCTAATCATCCTTCTGTTCTCTCTACCAGCCCTTTATAGTGTCTTCTTTTATCCTAGCACCTTCTAGCCCTTTCTCCTGCAAGTGAATTCACCTAGGGGTAAGACTTTGGGAAAGGCACAGTTTGGACTGACCCCAGCTTCCTTTTGAGCTTTGAGTTTCCTTGATCGATCTTGATTTTTTTTTTTTTTCTGAGAACAGTGTACTAATAAGAGAGGCATTACCCTGGAGTGCCTTCCTCCTGGAGCCTCTGCAGCCCTCCTGGCCTCAGTCAGAAAAGTAGAGAGCTGAGAAAGAGACTAGAGAGGGCCCTGCTCCCTGCTCCCTGCTCGGTGCAGTTCTGTTCCACAGGGCACAGTACTCGCTTGTGGGTTAATAACTGAGTTAAACAACTGGGTAATGACAGCAGAGCATCGAATGCCACTGCGAGAGATCTTGACAGGGGAGTGATTAATTAATAGCTACATTGAAAGGTGGGGAGAGTCAAGTGGGGGAAGAGTCGCAATGGAAAGATGTTCAGTTTCTTTGGCGGAGTGTATTTTTAGCACAGCTTCGCTTTGCTGCTGCATTGTAGGAGACTGTTCCACTCAGTTGACTGTGACTATTCTGTCAGGTTGTCCCTTTTCCCTCTGACCACGGCCTGTTTCCACATTATTATCACAAAGGCTGCATCTTTTTTGTTTGTTTTGTTTTTGAGGCAGGGTTTTCTATAGCTGTGGCTGTCCTGGAACTCATTCTGGGAATCAGGCTGATCTTGAACTCATAGATACCGCCTGCCTCTGCTTCCCTAGTCCTGGAATCAAAAGTATGTGCCACTCTTGCTCCACTGGCTGCACCCTTTTGTCTGAGAAAAATGTTCTGACCATCACAATGGTGGCTGGTGATGACTTTGGGTCTTATACTGTGAAGAGGAACTCAATATAAGCATCATTATTTTGCATGTCAGGAAATATCATTTGAAATTTAAATAATTCTCATTGTCTGTGTATGTAGATTTTGTAACCTGATAGGAATTTGTCACAAGAGGCCCTTACCACATCCATTCTTTGCAAAAGTTGAGGTTTTACCAGTTTTAAATGAGTAAAATTGTAGCTTACTCTGAAACTAAGAGTTTGAAATTTGAAATTAAAACAAACAAGCAAGCAAGCAAAAAACAAACAAACAAAAAACCTGCTGTCCCTCCCTGTCCACTCCTGGGGGGCGGGGGGAGGGGAGAGAGAAACACTCTAAGCAGGATGTGACTTTGCATCCTGTAAGGTGTATGGTTTTTTCCTCCCGCTGCTAGTCTGGTCCCACTGCCGCGCTAGCCCCAATTAACACACAGAGACTCTGTATTAGATATAATTCTGTTGGCCAGGTACTAGTTTCTTATCGGCTAGCTCTATCTTAATTATTAACCCATTTCTATGTATTTCCACGTGGTCTTCTTACCGGGGAAAGGGGCCAGCGTCCCGTCTCTCCAGTCTCTCCCTGCTGACTCTCCATTTTGACCCCTCCTTACTACCTCCTATTTCCTCCTTGTCTCTCCTATCTTCCTTTCCTACTGGCCAACAGTGATTTATTATTAACCAGTATGAGAAGCATATACAGAATGACATCTCCCATCAGCATCCCTGCCTAAAGACCATCTTGAGAGTGCCTGTTTGTGAGATGTAGCATCATTTTGGTACTAACAAGTGTTAACGAGTTCTTGTGGAATAAATGAATATTGACTAGGATGGCAAGGGTGGGTTATCTTGGTGTAACGTATTGTAAAGTTCACATTATGCCTATGCCAACTTCTTCCTGCTCTTCCTAGTCTGTTCTCCCACACTGACTGAATTACATTCTAGCTATAACACCAATTTTGACCTTTGAATAAATGAAGATGTCCTCCCTGCTAACTGGCTCAATGGGCGAAGGCACTATGGGTCTATTCCAGTGGTGTCTGTGGTACCCACTGACTACCTTGGTGTCTGTATTCTGGAGAAGTCTGTTCTATACAATCCTATCCTGACCCATGTTAATTTAATATGGATATAGACATATACAGTGGCTTTTGTACAGTATAAAGAGTCAGGTTCTTGGAGTGTAGGGAGTCAAAGTGAGTCTAGCCCTCCTCAGTACCAGATAGGGTTATCTTGAAATCAATAATTTCCTTCTGGGAAAAAAAATACTTATAAAATTAATTATGATGAAAAAGTCCAGTTAGAACTTCCAATTTTTTCCCTTTCCATTTCAACAAATTAATATAAAGGTTTTATTTATGTGCAGATATTTCTAATTGTGTTTTTTGTTTTATTTATTTATTTTTATGACCTGACCTCTGTTTCCCCTCCTTCCTCTCCCCTTAGTCCCTCCCCTCATTTCTCTTCTGCCCCTCCCCCATCCATTCCTCCTTCATTTCTATTCAGAGAAGGACAGACTTCCCACCGATACCAAGCAAATATGGCATATCAAGTTGAAGTCTGGATGAGGAAACCCTGTATGAGGATAACGGTCCCAAAAGCCACACAGACATATTGCCTGCTCTGATTGTTAAGACCCACAAGAAGACCAAGTTACACAACTGTGACATATACAGAGGGCCTAGGTCAGTCCCATGCAGGCTCCCTGGTTGTCACTCTAGTCTCTGTGAGCCCTATGAGCCCAGGTTAGTTGATGCTATGGGTTTTCTTGTGGTGTCCTTGACCCCTCTGGCTCCTACAACCCTTCCTCCCCATCTTCTGCAGGATTTCCTGAGGTCCACCTACTGTTTGGCTGTGAGACTCTTCATCTATAGATGCAAAAGAATGGAATGACATTCTTTTTGTTTTGTTTTCTTGTTTTGAGGCAGGGTCTTACTGTGGCAGGCCAGAAGCTCAGCATGCAGACCAGAATAGCCTTAAACTCACTGAAATTCACCTGCCTCTGCCCCCTGAACACTGATATTAAAGGTGTGCACCACCATGTCCAGTTTGGAGTGCTATTCTTCATTTGGCCTTCCCTCCGACAAAATGTTGATATGATAATCAGACAGAATGCTAGCATACCAAGCATAAACTTTCACTGTGAAAGTTTAAAGCAACTGGATTTTTTTTTCTTTGCTATCTCTATCAGCTAAGAAAAAGTAATTTCATATTAATTGTGCAAGAATTTTGTATTTCAATTAGAAATCTTCATTTCAATTTATCCTAAAGGCGGACCCTCTGCCCAGCTGTTCCTTTACCAGGCCACAGGGTGTCCTTGAGCCATGTCCATACTCGCTGTTCACAGCCCAGTTTGTGACCCTGCCTGGAGATATTATAGATTTTTTTCTTGGAACAAATTCAACATGACATTT